TTTGAAAAGATGTATTAAATTGATCAAAAGTGACAGTAAAGATAATATTATAGAGTTTATATTTCAAATAAATGTTGTTCTTCATCAAAGAATCCTGAAATATGTATCACAGTTTTCACAAAAAATATTAAGTATATTATATATACTGTTTTCAACATTGATGATAATAAAAACTTGAGCAGCAAATCAGCATCAGAATTTCTGAATGATCATGTGACACTGAAGTAATGGCTACTAAAAAAAAATCAGCTTTGCCATCACAGGAATAAATTACATTTTTCACAAATGAATTCACAATATTACTGTTTTTACTGTATTTTGATCAAATAAGTGCAGACTTGGTGAGCATTAGAGACTTCTTTCTGAAAAACATTAAAGATCTTACCGAGTTTTAAATGGTATATGATATGTTATACATTTTAATAACAGCAAATATGACATGCTCAAAGCTTCTTTATTTAACGAAGCCTAATTTTGCTTAAAAATATTTATGTATAACAGGAAGTATTTGCTATCCTTTCACAAGGCTTTCAGACACTTTGGTTAATTGGCCAGTTGGGTACAGTTACCAGAGAATGTTAGTACTCTTAAAATGGTTATGTATCAGATGTTTAATTGGCCTAGTTCAGGGTGGTTCCCACACTTTTTGTCAGCCGAACCCATTTGACCTAAAATATTTACTTGAAGTACCTCCTTAGATTTTAAGATTAGATTTTCGATTTCAATTTAACAGCACATTCGCATGTTCATGGTTTTCTGATGTTGGTTAATGGTCGCCTGACATGCAGGTAAACTAATAAAATAACTTTTATAGTAAGTGTTTTATTTTTGTTTTTATTTTAAAACTATTTACTGTAATTTTACATTTTTATGATTTAATGAATTATTAGGGTTTTATCAACTCACAAACCCCCTGCAGTTCACTCACGATCCCCAGGTTCTGAAACCTGATATATATTGATCTATCACTAAACCACAAACACACGCGCACACAAACTAAATAATTCAGTTTGTGCAGTCCTCTTGAAATCAGATTCATGAAGAGGTGAAGTGTTGGACTACTTGAGACTATGTTTGACCTGTCAGTGCAAATCTGAGCTGTCCTTACAGAGATTTTGTGTTCTAGCACTTCTTGAAGTTTCTTGAATCCCTCAATGGGTTTGCTTTCATGCAGCAGAGTGAATTGCTATTTGTTTCTTTCGTTGAACCGTTTTTCCACACGGTTCCTTATGTACGAACTTAAAGCCGATTTAAATATGACCTGTGTGAAGTTTACTCTTCGATATCTTCTCCTGCCTCTCTTCATCTCTCTCTAGCATCTCTTTGCACCCCGTGGTGATCTTCTTTTTATTTCTTGACGCCTGCTGCCATGCAGACCTTGCATTTCTCCCTCGCTTCTCGTGTGTTGTGTTGTTTTGTCTCATTCTCGCCTTCGCTCTCTCTCTCTCCCTCACCTTTTTTCTCGCACTGTTGGTGAAGCTACTTTGAAAGCCAAGCTACAAGCTCCTCATGATTTCAAGCAGCTGAACTTCAGTCAAGCTAGCCTTTAGCACAAGAAGTCAGCTGCACTACAAGCTACTAACAAAAAGTAGTCACGCTTCTGACAAGATCTAGTTGGGTTACGTCTCTACTTTTAGTTTGTTACTCCCCAACTCTCTCTTACCCTCTCATTCTGTCTTTCTACATTTTCTAAAATGGATTACATTCATCCTCTGAAGCATTTAACTGACAAATCCTTCTGAGAGGTCTCCAGTCCCCAGACATGCTTTACTTGAACTACACATCCTTGACACTCCAGGCAGCACGGCTAATGCCATGAGCAACTTCAAAGGCGGCATTAGAGTGACTGTAACAACCATGACGGTTCTGATCGTCACAATCAAAGCTGTGATTATCGTCATCATCCGAATGACAGTCAGACGATACAGTATAATGAATTTAACATTGTATTTCATGCTTTGTTTGTGCCATCATCGCAGAATGACCTCACCTCTACCTGGAGCACCAATCATCACATGGCCAACATATTCGACTTCACGCTGGACGAGCTGCAGAGTTTGAAGAGGTGAATTGAACTTTATTGACTCGACACAAAAGGTGTTATTTGCAACAAAATCATACAAGTACAAAGATGAATTTTCACTATTTTATTTTAGCTTTAGCTTTAGCGGATGATCAATGGAAAGCTTATTTATTCAGCTTTCAGATGATGTATAAATCTCAATTTCGAAAAATTGACACTTAAGACTGGTTTTGTGGTCCAGAGTCAGTATTTATAGTATTTATATATAGTATTTATTATTATTTTGAATTAGCTTTTATTTTTATATTTTCAGTTGTATTTTAGTTTTAGTATTTTCTGTGTTTTTGTCATTTTTATTAGATTTTTTAAATATTTCTATTTAGCTTTAACTTATTTTAATTTAAACTATATTTTTTAGTCATTTTAATACTTTATCTTAAAATTATTATATATCAGTTACGTGCCAGGGCAACATTATTAAATTTCTTGTAGTTGAACTTTTATCTAATTTATATTTAATTTGATCAGCTTCATCGTGTTTTTTTTTCTTCAATTAATAAAAACTATTTTGAATAGTTTTAGTGAACAATAACAACAGTTGTTTCAATCAGTTTCTGATAGATAAAGCTCAGGCTCCACCTTTTTTCCTCATTTAATATTCTGTTTTTGCTCTAAAATACTGTATGTCTCAAAATGGAAGTAAAATGGGTTGCTTGCTGTGTTTCATGTTGACTGTAAGTGTTTGATGGTTCGAGTCATGGAACTCATTTGTATGTTTCTTTCTTCATCTCTGTCTCTCTTGATTAATTTCTATTAATTCTTAGCACCAGTTCAGGACAGACGTTCAGTATGGACCAGGACTCCACCGATGCAGCCAGTACTTCTGGTTCTGCCACAACCAGCGTCTCCTATGACTTCAGGTACACTTCATTTTCTTCAGTTCTGCAGACTTTAGTAAACCTTTAACAGGAAACAACAATTAGTCATTTTAGTACAGCTTTTATGGAGAATCTTTACACAGCATTAACTTAACTCACCAAAGATTTGCACCCTCACAGTGTTGCTGAAAAATTAAGATGCATTGAGAATTGTTTGGGAATCAGATTGTGACTTTTTGAATCAAAATAGAATCAAATCACTAGGTGCTAAAAGACTTGCACCCCTATTTTGTATGCTTTGTATGTAGTACAACAAAATACTCTATTGAAATTTTTTTTTTAAATACATATTCTTACAGTATGTGCAGCCAGTTATATTTCATAAAACTTAAAAATACATTAACAATCAAACAAAGTAACAGTTCAATGCCAGTGATATTAATTTAATCAGATGTCAGCCAGATAACTAATTGCAAAGTTGCGCTGTTTGCACTCTTTGTATGTATAAAATATTAATGTTAAAAACATTAATGAGAAGACCATCTGGCAACAGTGGCACAAATATGTTTATGCAGGTAGCATTATATAAAATTATAATTATCACAGATTTGCACAGTTCAGTGTTAGCATTTCTTGTATGTTATGATGCACAGTTTTAAGTTCAAAAAAGAGTATTGAAAAAAAAAAAAAAAGATTGAAATTCTCGCTCACAATTCACAATTCGCTCCTATTCAGCTAAATATGCGCTTGTTTAGCCGCGGGGCTGTAGATTCAGCAGCAGCTGCACAAAACGCTGGTGTGATGCAATCATTCACAGGCCGTTGCGAATCACTCGTACTCTTGTAGATCCTTGCAACAGCGTGGTTTAAAACAGCGTGGTTTAAATAAGTTAAATTAAAGCCATGCATGTGACATATGAGGTCAACCCAGGTAATCTTTTCAGTCAGAACATTTTCCCTGGATTATCCGGTGACCCGCTGGTACCTAACCCTGAGCTACAACTTAAGTGGGTTTGCGGTTTCATTTGATGTGAGCCTGAGGGATGCTAGGAGCTAATTTGTCATGACATTTGAAGTGGTGACATCAATGATTGCAACTAAACCACCGGGCCACCAGGGTGCCTCTAACCACTTTGCTTTTTAATATACATGAGCTCGAGCAATTGTCAGTTTGACTCGGTCGCTGGAACGACTGTGGCTGGAAATCCAGGCCTGTATCCTCTATGCTTTTCATCTTGCTCTTTCACAAGTGTCCTCTTCATGGCTACACTGCAGCGTAATCAATATTGCTGTAGTGGGACAATTTGGCAGCGCGACTGTCACTGTAGATTCTCACCTCCCCTGCTGGGCTTGCACTCTGCTGCCCACGAGTTAAAGAGGAATAACAGGCGTCCATCACCACCTGATGTTGTGTGTAAACCGCCTCTGACAGCTCGCAGAGAAATATGCTGTCAGATTATGGATTATTTATGGTTATGGCCACTTGTTTGCTCCTGTTTATTTTAAAGATGGAGTCTGTGGAGGCTGAAAATGGCAGTGAAACCATGCCAGAGATGAGAATGCCATCAGTCAGTGGTCACGTATCTGGGTTTGCTTTAGTGCTGAAGGTCAGATTCTTATACGAATATCCCAGGTACTTTCAAGCTCTACTGTGGCATGCTATCGATTACCACAGGTTTGTTTGGGTTATGCAGTTTTTCACAAACCATCAGTGTGTATTAAATGAACAGGAAACATGTTTACAGTAATCGCATGAAATGGAAGTCTAGCAGGTAAGCAAACTGAAGGGTTTTTAAAAAACAGGGTTCACATTGACATGAAAAGCCTAGCAGGGATAGTAAGACATTATAAAACTGAAAAAGTAATGGAAATTAATATATATATTTTTTTTAAATGTAAATTTCCATAAAAAATGTGGAGGGTCTATACATTTTTTTTTATGTTTTTGAAAGAATGCCAAGGTTGCATTTATGTAATTAAAAGCAGCAAAAAGTAAAATGATAAAATATTACAGTTTAAAATGTAATTTATTCCTGTGCTGAATTTTCAGCAGCCATTACTCCAGTCTTCAGTGTCTTCAGTATACAGAAAACATTGTAATTTATTTCCTGCTAAAGGAGCATTTATCAATGTCGAAAACAGTTGTGCTGTTTTAATGTCATTGCTGCATAAAAGTATTCACCAAAAAAAATAAATAAAATGTTAATAGTATTTTATATATTTATATATAGTGAATATATATTTTTACATTAATAAAAAAGTAATTAGATTTTCTTTTTTTAGCTAGTCAAAACCTTTTAAAAGTTTTAAAACAATGTAAAACATTAGACTTTTTCCTTGTTTAACATTGTTTCCATTTATAAGTATATAAGATATAATAATTAGTATACACATATGTAATACTGATTGACTGCATGACACACATAGTACATCCTTTAAATAAATAGTTCACCTAAAAATTAAAATTCTGTTATTTTCTCACTCTCATGTCATCGCCATTGCCCTGAAATCTCATTTGCATCCACTTGAGATTTAAAATAATTATTGGGAAAATAATGACAGACTCTTCATTTCTGTGTGAACTACTTTTGAAAACTTCTGTTCCTTTTTCCTCTTGCCCTTTCCTTTTAGTCTCGCTCACAAAGCTTTATTTTTATTTAGGAGTGTTACTGACACTGTAGAGCAGAACTTATGATCTCTTTGTTGAGTCATTGCTTTAAGTCAGCATTTCTTCAGAAGCTCACCATATTCCTGGTAGTCATGCCTCATGTCCCGCAGGCCAGATACTCATACAGTTAATAATCCCTTATACTTGTCCTGTATTCTTGTTTTTGTTTTGTCACCCACTGCGCTAGGCCTGGAGAAACCACAACCAAAGAAAGCAAAGGCCTGTGCGCAGAACATGCAGTTGGATGGATGGCTGGTTGGAGACTGCCAAATGGCCCCACTCACTCGTTCATTGCTTTCCCATAGTTTGTCTTATTTATTTTAGGATATGAACGCTCATTAGTATTCCTTCAGTGTTCCTAAGGGTGTTTGGAAAGAGGCGGAGAGAGAGGGTGGAAGAAAATAAACACAACTTGGATTTTCTCGACTGGAAAAGTTGTGAGGGGTCGACAGATCCCTGTCCCCTACTGTGCATCCTCGTTGTGGGCTAGATCAAACACTTCACAAACACATATCTGCTTTCCGTGCTTGGCTTTCATGTACTAATACTGTTTAGCTCTACATCCCATTTTAGCAGCTATAATGATTTCTGAAATGGTGGTTCTCAGCACTGGATTTTGATATCTTGCTGTGATTTCCCATGTTACACAATGCCCTGTGGGCAGAAATTTGTGGTCGTTATGCAGGGATCGTATGGTTATGAAAAACCTGGAAAAGTCAGGGAAATTGACTTATCTCTATATAATAGAATTACGTTTAATCAGGTCCAGTTGGGTGTGCCTCACACGTCCTGAAAAGTGAAGCTGCGGGCTCTTTGATCGCCCCCTGGTGGCTGGCTGCAGTACAGGGCATAAACCCCACCCTCTCCATGTAAACGAATTTCTGGCTCCAAACGAATCTCTACTGCGCAGACTCGGGCTCCAAATGACGTCATTTACTCAAGATGGCAGCGGCCATACTGAGATGCTTTGGCTTCACTTTTCTATAGTGGAAGGAATAGGAGACGCGTCGTCCATATTTTTTTACAGTCTATGGGTCCAGTATTTCGGTGCGTGATTGAGCATATATCGCATAGTTCGCATAGTTTTACTCATTCCCGCAGCTTTCGAGTTTAAAATGAGGGAAATTCCTGCACATATTTATTCAATATAGCATGTAGGTTAGATGAGCAAATAAATCCACCCAGACTGTCAGATTAAATCAGTCATTTGAAAACCGCTTGAGTGATTCAGCTGTACCGCGTCTTCTCTCTTTCACTCTCTCAAAGTGGCTTCACATTGGCGTATCTCATCTGCACTATCTGTGATACAAGACTTTCACTCGCATTTCGGGACAGTTGACAGTGGCAGGGGCCACTTGTGCTTTTAGGGAGCACACTTTTAAAATTCATCATAACCTACTATCAGTAATATTCATTGTCATTTTTTACCATGTCATGTATCACTGCAATCGCTAGAAGTAAGCTATAACAATTTCAACTCAAATGAATGTTTCATCATGTTTCATTTATGTGACAAATAATATTGTAATGTAGTGTGATACAATACAAAAGCTCCTCTCTGAAGTGCACGGTCTCCTTTGAGTAATTTCCTCTTGACATAAAAGTTATGGCACAATTAATTACTTTTTCCATTACTGCCACCCACAGGACAAACTGCGCATTGCACCCAAAATAGTTTGGTATGGTACGATTCAAGCCCTGCGTCCCAATGCTCATACTATCCATCCTAAATAGTATGTGAGATTAGAATTAGTGTGTCCCAGAGCATAGTATGTTGAAAATAGTATGCCGCCAGTTTACAGTGACAGGGTGCGTGTAACTCTGCGACAGAGAGGTCCGTTAAAGACTCGACGTGACGTGATAGTATGTCCCAAAGCTTGCATACTCTGCTACTACACACAGTAGGCACATTGGGATGCAGCACAAATTTAGGGGGTCCAAGCTTGTTGACACACATATCCCCACCCCCCCATAGAACCGCCCCTGATTGGACCATTAAATAATGGACCATTACATCATGAATATTGTCTCAAAGCCATGTAATTTTATTAGTAAAAATGTGTAGGAACCCTGATTATGGTGTTTATGCAGAATGGAAACTCCCCAGAAGATTTGCAGCATGAGAAAAAGATACCTAAAAGTCCAGTTCTGCTGCATGACCTTTAAAATGCCATAACGCCCACTGAGGCAACTGCGAGGGGACAGCGAATGGCTAGGAAGTAAAATTCAGTGTTAAACAGGGACATCTTGTGGTATACAGTATTAGTGCATCTATACAACTGCACCTTTTTTGTGTTAAATTTCTTTCATATTTATTCAATGGATAATACAACAAATACATATTTTTTTCAGGTTTTTTTTTTTGAGTATTTTTATTCAAGCAGAACACAGAGTAGTGCACATTTGTAACTGAAATATAAAATAAATTATCATAAAATATAAATTTTTTACATTTGCAGTAAAAACTGTAATATTTGTGAAATATTATTAAAATTTATATAAATTTTAAAATGTAATTTATTCCCGTGATGGCAAATCTGAATTCTCAGCATCAGAAAAAATTAAAGGTTTGTATATATTTATTTATTTTTCTTCACTTTCCTTAAATTATATGTTCTTTTTAAAATATAAAATGATAGCAGGCTGTATACAGTAATTAATAAGCATTTCTTCCATTATGAACATAGCCAGGCTTGATTTTGATTTGATTGGGATTTTGATTGATTTTGATTTGTTTACGGGATTTGATTGTATTGTGAAGAAATCATCTTTCCCCACCTCTGCAAACTGGTTACATGAGCAGAAAAGTTGTTCTAGAATATTTGAAATATCATTTCAAAAAATTAATAAAAAGAACATTTTGAGTGAAAGGCGAGTTTTTATGCTTCTTATATTCTTTACAGGAAAAATGTGGGCAGTCGGAAGAGGAAGTTGCCCTCCTCTAATTACACTGCGCTGGCCACAAAAAGAGAGATGGTGGAGCGTGAGCTGAGCCCCATCAGCATGCCTGGAGAGGAGAGTAACGTCATGATGGAGAACAGCATCGACAGCCACACCTTTGAGAGCATCAACGAGGACGATTCCTCACTGTCTCACCTCAAGTCTTCCATCACCAGCTATTTTGGGGCAGCCGGTCGGCTCACCTGCGGGGAGAAGTATCAGGTTCTGGCTCGTAGGATTACACCTGAAGGGAAGGTGCAGTATTTGGTGGAGTGGGAAGGAACTACACCTTACTGAATATCACAGAACAGAGGTGTGGAACAGATGGGCTGCAAAGGAAGGTGTCACGCAGTCGTCCCCCCCACCCCATAGTTACTCTCTGTTTTGCTATTCTGAAAGTCATAGTTTCGGAGTTCTAGTTTTGTTTTTCTTGTTTTCCACAAACCACATATAGTATTTTTTCTGATACTCTGGTCTTCTCTCATGTGGGACATTAAAGTCTTTTTTTGTGAAGTCATTTGCAGTGTCCTTTTAAGGCACTTTAAACATCACAAACATCATTCAGTCTAGTAACATGTTATTCTTACACAGTATAACGTCATTATTAGGTAGCAGATAAAGGACAGTATTATACAACATGAAGTCATTTCAGTTTAGTTTTGGGATTCAAACGGTTTCACTCGCCCCAGTGAGTTTCAGTTCCTGTTATTCAGCACTTCAAAGTTCGTGTCAGGTTTTGAGTTTAATGTTCATCCAAAAATGAACATTTGCTGAAAATGTACTCACGCTCAGGCCATCCAAGATGTAGACGAGTTTGTTTCTTCATCGGAACAGATTTGGAGAAGTTTAGCATCACATCACTTGCTCCTCTGCAGTGAATGGGTGCCGTCAGAATGAGAGTCCAAACAGCTGATATAAACATCACAATAATCCATAAGTAATCCACATGATTGCAGTCCATCGATGAATATCTTGTGAAGCGAAAATCTGTCTTTGTAAAAAAACATCATCATTAAGAGTTTATCTTCAGACCTTTGCTTCCGGCTAAATTAAACAAGTCCTCTATCCATAATATTACATTCTCCAGTGACAAAGTCTCATTCTGACGGCACCCATTCACTGCAGAGCAAGCGATAAAATGCTAAATTTCTCCAAATCTGTTCTGATGAAGAAACAAACTCATCTACATTTCGGATGGCCTGAGCGTGAGTACATTTAAAGCAAATTTTCATTTTTCTGCAAATTATTCCTTTAAAGTAACTCATTTTGTTTTGTTCATCTCTCAGTATTTGTGCAGAAGGCAAATACAAACATTGTACAAATTGCTTTATATAGCAATTTGTACACATTTGTTTGTTCACCTAAGATAACAGTACAGCGGTGCTTTTTAGCTATGTTAAAATGTTAGCACTTTCGTTCTTTCCTGCTCAGCCATCATTTTTGAATTCGATCTAGGTGATTATATAACCAAAGTGACGCAAATACTGTTTTGAGAAGTATTTTTTCTATTTTAAATGCTTTTGTATGCTCTGGCATGTCAGATTGGATAAACTACCTGCTTTGAGAAAGCAGAATGAAACTGAAAGTGGAAAGTGATCATTTGCATTTAATTAGCAATAGAATTTAGGCTTTTTTCAACATTTGCCCACATATCAATGTCAAATCAATGTTTTTACAAGATTTCCAAAGATTGTTGTTATATTTGAGATGGATCTGGAAGTGGATACATGCACTTATCAGATGATTGGATTGACTGGAAAATTGAAAGTTATGTGAAGTTTTAAAGCTGTCAGGTTCTATAATTTGACTTAATTAGTTTTATAGTAACATTATAAATATACTTTATTATTTACATGTATATAATTGGATATAAGATTAGCCCCATTTTATTATTGCACTATTAACATGTTTTATCAGCTATGCAAGCTATTATTGGATAAATTGACCTATATTTTCTAATTGATTTTTTTTAAATGTATAAAAAGATATTTCAAGTATTTACTTTTTACTTTTATAATATTTCCCCAAAGGAATGGCATATGTGAAATTGAAAGCCAACAGTTTTGTCAACAAAACACACAGATTGTTGTATTAATCATGCTCACAAGTTTTTGTACGTCAACTTGCTCACATTTCAAGAGAAGTTTTATATTTTGGTTACAAGTTTAACAATGTTTAGAAGAGAAACAACCTATTGCCTTTGTATAAGATTAAAATTAAGCTGTTTTCAATGCTTTTCTGACAATTTTTCTACACAGCACCCTCAAAGCCGTACATGGTAAACATGTATTTGTTTTTTGGAACAGTGTTCAGACATGTTAAATGTGCAAACTTGCATGTGTCATTATTCATTCATTCCTGTTTCAGACCATTAAAACAGTTTGTCAGCAATAATTGTGTCTCATGTATCTGTACAAACATTTTCACAGGCGTGTTGGTATTATTTATTCTGCACAATTAATACAGACACACATATAAGTGTAAACGGAAGCACAGTAGCCATGATTAACTGGACTTTTCATCACATATGAGTACGAGAATGTATGTTTAAAAAGTGTAGAAAATACTACTTTTAATACGTTTTTTTTTTTTTTAAATAAGTTTTCTTGTAAGGACCATCGTTTTTCATTTCCAAAAATGTATGTTTAAATAAATGTATAAACCCCTGTGTCAATACCATGGTCATGGGGTCATGCATTTTCACATCTTGTGGCAAAAGGTTCAGCTGTGAATATTAACTACATGAGGCTGACGTTCCGAGAAGGGTCTGTCTGCGGACTGCAAGACAGGGGCGTAACTTGAAGGGGGCGTAACTTGAAGTTGTCCAAATCACACAGAACCACGCGAGATGTCAAAACGAGATGTTGTCGGGCTGCGTTCGAAACCGCATACTTTCTAAATTATAAACACTTAATTTATTTAAGTACTTACTTACCGAGCGCTATGAGAGTGTACAGCCTGAATGCGTTAAGTATGAATGCGATTCGGATATCATCCGCTATGTTGACGTTATCATGTGACCTACGACGTTATAACAAGCGCAACAACTTAAAAGATATGAGTGACAGGTTTAATTCATCTATCTGTAAGTATCTTGATAATGATGAAACTTGCCCATTTTGTGGTCTTGTTGAAGAAACAGCTGCCCTTTTTTTGTGATTGTAGTATAGCCAATACATTTTGGGTTGATTTAAGTTCTTATATTTTTAACTCCACTAATGTGATCAAGTTTTATCCTTAAAGCATTTTTAAAAAATGTATTACGAAAAGCCAAAATCGTTATCTCTTGAATATCTTGTTAATTATTTTGTGCAAAATGTTTTATCCACAAGCAAAAGTGGCTTAAATCTCCTTTGTTTTATTCTTTTTCTTGTTGAATTTAACTCTCGTTTCATCCCTCAGGCTTCTAAAAAAATGCATCATGATGAATTATTCAAAGATATTTAACCTTGTCACTGTGCTTTTTTCTGTGTATATTATCTCATACTATGATGAACACATGCATTTTTGTTTTATCAGAATCAGAATAGCTTTATTACCAAGTATGTTTACACACACAAGGAATTTGACGTGACGACAGGAGCTTCCAGTGCAGAAGTACAAACATAGTGCAGACATACATGATAGTGCAGACATACATAGGAATAACACAGTAGGGATGTAATATAACACTAATATAATATATGCCATTATGATTGTTCATTGTTAGATACAACCATCTTTCCCTGATCTTTTATGTAATTATAAGTTCGGCAATAATAATAATAAAAAAGAGGGACAGGTGCACTAACACCTCATAGCATCACTAACTCAACAATCTAGTATGGTTTTCCTCAGCGTTTGCAATATCTGCACAAAGGATATGTCGGGCAGCTGCTCGAAGATCTCGCCTTTGGAGAAGACTGTTGATTTTATACTCTAAAAATGTAAGTATTACTACTTAAACATTAAGATTACCCCAGAATGAATTGCATCGTTTGCCCACCCCAACACTTACATGCAATAATAAT